AAATAAAAGTCGTCGCTCATATGGTCCCGAATAGTAGGTACTTAGGCCCTAATAGAGGATAGGAAGAGGGCCTATGTAGTTCCTCTTTGGGTAGTGTATCATTATCCAGGACCTACAGAAACCTGTACTATAATCACTATTACCTTAAACCCGGTACATGGACCCTCTGGGATAGGAGCCCTTGGGCGTAGCTTTGGTGATTATGTCAAGGTTTGGATCCTTAGGGTTATGCTCCCAATCCCGAACCCAATTTTTGCACCACCCAGGGGCCCTAAAGTACTGTAATTCCTAGGACTTTAGGGACTTCAGGTGGTGCAAGATTTCCTCCATCAACAGTATGCACTTATACAGGAAGACAGCTTCGAAAACCTTTGGGTTGTCGATACACTCCAAAGGCTTCTCCTGTGTTTAGGGTTTAGGGTTCTGTGTTCTGTCAACAGGAAAAATAGACCATTATCAGTCTGAAGAGCTTTACAGTCAGCATTTGTTCCATAATGCATGATCCCGAGAACCGCCTCTCTCAGAAGCAGAACTCCCAATCCCAAATCTCCAAACCCTAAACCCTAAAACCCTAAATCCCTAAACCCTAAGTCCCTAAATCCCTAAACCCTAAATCCCTAAATCCCTAAACCCTCCGACACCTGTTAGGGGTTTAGGGTTTAGGGTTTTAGGGTTTTAGGGTTTAGGGATTTAGGGGTTTAGGATTTAGGGGTTCAGGGTTTAGGGTCAACTTAGAGACTCCCCACTGTATAGCAGTCACCCAGCATCGCCAATGCTGTAATTCTCTGCCCTTACTGAAGGTTTAGGATTTAGGTGCTACTCCAAGGGTCCAAGGACCCAAATAATGAGGTTTTAGGGCCCAAATACCATTAATATCACAGTATGCGGAAGTCCAATGAACCTCTAAGTTAACCCTTGACCCTATAACCCTAAAGGCAGAGGGTATCTTCTTGCGAGAGCATGTGGAGCCCTTACTGGACCCGCTCCCTCCTCCCTCTTGAGCCTGGGCGTCCGACGGATGAGGGGGATTTGGGGTTTAGGATTTAGGGTTTAGGGCTTAGGATATAGGGTTTAGGGTCTAGGATTTAGGGTTTAGGGTCTAGGGCTTAGGGTTTGGGATTTAGAGTTGAGGGCTTTGGGTGGTGGGATTTGGGATTTCAGGTTCAGGGCTTTGGCTTAACAACTTGCAAGTTGCCGATTGTTTGTGGTTTAGCTAGAACTCACACAGTCCAGGTTTTCAGGCTTACGGAATGGGGGTGACTAGGTTACATGAGCTTTTTCACAACCTCTTCTGGACGGAGGACATCTTGCAGCAGCCCATATAGCCACAAGCACGCAAATTATAGTACTTGGGGGACATGAAGTGGTGGAAGATTTCCTCATCCACCGTAGGTATAGCCAGAAAATTGTAGGAATCTGGAGTTTGTAAAGTTCAAAGGTTATAGGGGCCCCCCAAACAGGGTTTAAGGGATCGTAGTAGCCATGCATATTGCTTGGTGTTGCCTTGGTGTATGGGAGCTTCAATCCAAGGTTGGAAGCGTGGGCCCCTAGGTATGGGCCCTTAGACCTTCTAGGGGGTTCTGGGGACCCTTAAGGGTACATATAGGGTATAAAGTGGGTACATAAGGGTCCCAGGGTCACTAGGGGCCATGGTTTGAACCTGGGACTCAATGATAGACGCCTTTAACTGGACAATCTTTAGCGACCTCACCCGACCTCACCGTAAATGGCGGTTTTTTGTAGGAATAGTACCAAATGGCCTTAGATTGGGAGTTGAGATTGTTCTAAAATAACCTGTAAACCCTAAATCCTAAACCTTGAATCCCTCCTTGGGACTTAGCTTGGACCTTAGACCCTTAACCCTTTGGGATTCCCTCCTACTCCTATTACAGGTACCTAAGGGCCTTAGTAGGGGTCCTAAGTGCCACGCAAAT